GTCATTTTTTAAAATGAATGATGGTATTTTGGGAATTAAAAAAATTCATTAAATGTTCATAACTGCTTCTTTTGAAAGCAGCTTTGAAAAGCAATATAGAGCCTGCTTTTAAAAGCTGCTGTCAAAAGGCCATTGCTTTTAAAATAATCGGGATATTTTCTTTTTACCAAACACCTAAAACTGCTTAACTTTAAAGTGAAGCAGGTTTTTGGCCAAAAAAAGCAATCCCAAACAGGGCCTTAATATCTCTTTCAAATTTGTAGCTGTTACTTTGCAAGTTTCGAAAATTAGGCTTTTTCTTTGATCGGTACCGGATTTTTACCAGATTAGATCTTCGACAATGTCGCTCTGATTTGGTTCAGGGTATTATATGAATTTGTGTAGTAGTTTTCTTGTTCTTGTTCCTGAATTTATTTTTATTATGACGATTTCAATTTCAATTTCTGCTCTTAACGAGCAAGTAATTGAATTGAAACCCCTTGATTGGATAGGTTTTGTTTTGGTATTTTGGTCGGCTTGGTTGGTCGTCTGTGTAATTTTAGATGGTTGCCTTTTGTGGATGGATCCGTGTAGAAGCCACTTGGCTCCTATTTTATCTGCCAAAGTAGGAAACTTAACAGAGTAGGCAACTTTAAGTCGGTGATGAATGAGTCGTGTCCAACTCCGTTTCTTTGGTCTTTTATTTGTTTTGCAAGCCAATTACGAACTTTCTTGGACCCTTCCATATCCGCAGCCTTTCCTATATGTATTTCTTTTTAATATATTTTAACTCCTAAAACCCTAAACGACTACCAGAATTGAATTCCAACTTTTCGTTTTCTGGGTTCTATTGTGACTGCCTTGTAGGTGCGGATTTAGACTGGTTTGGTTGATTTTGTGGCCTGCATTGTTGTGAAGGAAGGGAAAGAGGGTTTGCTTGGATTAAAGTTGAGGTTTTTTGTTTCTGTCTTTTTCGATTTTGTGGTTAATAGAGTTGAGTTAATGGGTGGGAGAAGTTCAAAGGAGGGGAGTTTTAGGCAGAATTCATCTTCTCGTTCTACTTCTTCATCGTGGAGCTATCCTCAAGTTCCATCGCCATATGTTCAATCACCATATGCTCAAGAAAGTCAAAGCTATCCACCACCCCAGCAAGCCTATCCAGCACCATCACAGCCTTACTATCCCTCATCGCAGGATTATGGTGGTGGTGCTCGGGCAACTTGTCCTACCTTGGAGAGGAAATATTCAATAATTTTTTGTAGTTACAAATCCCTAGAGGAGGTAAGATTACTACGCTGTATCTTCTGCAAGCTTTCCTTTTTCTGGTTCAAGTTTCTTACCTATCTACCATGGTCAATTATGTTGACTCAACTGCAATCTTTGTAGGTGACTGAAGCTCTTGCACGTGCTGGTCTTTGAGTCTTCCAATCTTATCGTTGGAGATGGCCATCCTCTGCCTGCAGTAGCAGAAATTCCAGTGTTGTTTTTGATAGTGGATGAACATGGTATAAATGATTTCCATTCTTCAAAAATGCAAGGAGTTAAATTTGACTTTCAATATATTTTAATATATACTTTTTCAAGTTAATCAGTGACAATCATTGTGAGGATAATTATTGTTGTTCGCAAAAACATTTTTTTAAAACCCTTTATAATTAATTTTTTTATATTACAATCCATATTTTTTTTAATTGTGGTTCGCAAAAACATTTTTCAGACCCTAATCAACACAAGATCAAAAGAATACCTCCTAGTACAGAGACTTAACTAATTGGGCTCTTTGCAGGGAGAGATAACAAAGCTATAGACCCCAAATTTTGCGGGGATAGATCAGAATGATATAAGTGCCTTGGTTTTCCTTAGGCAGAAGCTGGGTTGATTATTATGTCCTCTACGGGATCATAAAATTAACATGCTGCATGTGGGATCATTGTACCTTGTTTTCCTCTTCTAGAGGCTTGGCAAGCTGGGTGCATCATATATACTCATATCATCAAGCCTTTAGATGAAAGAAGAGTGGAGGTTGGAGTTGAGACTCAAGGTTAGTAGTCTTACGCCTCCCAAATATTAAGGTACTTCATTCTTATTATAAACTACCTTAAAAAAGTTGTGAATTTTTAAGAAGGAAAATCATATCCAATCTCAAAGCAATGGATCTTTTGAAGTTTACTTTGAATGCAATCAAAAAGCAGCATCCACGAGAACTAAATTGTAGCCAATTACATAATAGAAAAGAAAGATATTTAAAAACAGAAGATTTTGCAGCCAATTCATTGTCATGAGTTTGATACCACACCAATTGTAATGTGCACGCAGACTTTAGTAAAGACACTGCTCCAATCAAAATAGTCAACCTGCAAAGACGAAACAAAAACAAACATTACGCTGTGGAAAACAAACTGTAAAATCCCACCACCAAAAAACTGTAAAATTACTACCTGTATATGGAATAGCACCAATCTGATCAACAAACAGATCGATGAAATCAACAGCAACCATTGTGGTGTGCGCAAACCATGTGTCTCCCCCATTTGACGATTGAGAGCGTTGCACTCTTGTTTTTCATTAATCCACGCCCGTTCCCCGGACTCTTTGAATTTGTGAAATATTTGAACGCTGGGTGTGTTTGCGCACACCACAATGATTGCTGCGGATTTCATCGATCTGTCTGTTGATCAGATTGGTGCTATTCCATATACATGTAGTAATTTTACAATTTTTTGGTGGTGGAATTTTACAGTCTGTTTTCGACAACGTAATGTTTGTTTTTGTTTCTTCTTTGCAGGTTGACTATTTTGATTGGAGCAGTGTCTTTGCTAAAACCTGCATCTGCGTGCACATTACAATTGGTACCGGATCCAACTCATGACAATGAATTGGCTGCAAACTATTCTGTTTTTAAATATCTTTCTTTTCTATTATGTAATGCTGTAATTGGCTACAATTTAGTTCTCGTGGATGCTGCTTTTTGATTGCATTCAAAGTAAACTTCAAAAGATCCATTGCTTTGAGATTGGATATGATTTTCCTTCTTAAAAATTCACAACCTTTTTTAAGGTAGTTTACTTTGAATGCAATCAAAATTGTTGGCCCTAAACTTGTTGGCCCGTTTAGAAAAGTTGGCCCAATATTTTTCTTGTAGTAGGCCCACACCTGAGACTGTAAACCCTTGTTGGCCCATATTGGGCCAAGTCGACCCAGTATTTTTCATGTCATAGGCCAACACCTAAACCCTAAGTCGGCCAAATATTTTTCGTGTTATGGGCCCAACTTTGGGCCCACCGAAACATGAGATCTGTTAGATTATGAAAAAGATGAAATCTTTAACCCTAAAAAATAGCTCTACATGAAAACATAAATATGAATCGGAAAACAGATCTCTAATTCATAAAAAGATGAATTCTTTAACCGGAAAAAATTATCTCTATATGAAAACATAAAATCAAATCGGAGAACAGATCTTTCCCTCAAAGTAAATCATTGGGAAAGATAGATCTCAAAGAACATGAATCATCGGGAAAGATACTCTCAGACTTCATATTTCTCTCATAAACTCTATACATCCGATTATTCAAAAGATAACGAACATGAACTAAAGAAAGAATAAGAAAATGAACATGAACTAAAGAGAGAGAATGTGATGTTCAGAGAAAATTATCTGAGAACAGATCTCTAATTCATAAAAAGATGAAATCTTTAACCGGAAAAAATTATCTCTATATGAAAACATAAATTCAAATCGGAGAACAGATCTTTCCCTCAAAGTAAATCATTGGGAAAGATAGATCTCAAAGAACATGAATCATCGGGAAAGATACTCAAAGACTTCATATTTCTCTCATAAACTCTATACATCCGATTATTCAAAAGATAACGAACATGAACTAAAGAAAGAATAAGAAAATGAACATGAACTAAAGAGAGAGAATGTGATGTTCAGAGAAAATTATCTGAGAACAGATCTCTAATTCATAAAAAGATGAAATCTTTAACCGGAAAAAATTATCTCTATATGAAAACATAAATTCAAATCGGAGAACAGATCTTTCCCTCAAAGTAAATCATTGGGAAAGATAGATCTCAAAGAACATGAATCATCGGGAAAGATACTCAAAGACTTCATATTTCTCTCATAAACTCTATACATCCGATTATTCAAAAGATAACGAACATGAACTAAAGAAAGAATAAGAAAATGAACATGAACTAAAGAGAGAGAATGTGATGTTCAGAGAAAATTATCTGAGAACAGATCTCTAATTCATAAAAAGATGAAATCTTTAACCGGAAAAAATTATCTCTATATGAAAACATAAATTCAAATCGGAGAACAGATCTTTCCCTCAAAGTAAATCATCGGGAAAGATAGATCTCAAAGAACATGAATCATCGGGAAAGATAATGAACATGAACTAAAGAGAGAACAAGAAAACGAACATGAACCAAAGAGAGAACAAGAAAACGAACATGAACTAAAGAGAGAGAACGTGATGTTCGGAGTCAGATAGATGTGTGCTTATATAGTATCAATTAGGGTTTGCCAGAGTTACGAAACTACCCTTTGTCATTTACTATTCTTACTTAAATTCCGGTTCGTCAACACGCGACTCCAACTCGTTTTTCCTATGCATTTGTTATCATCTTGACCGTCCAAATTTATCTAGCGATAAGGAATGTGCCACGTCATTTAACGAATTTTTTAACTTCTTTAAACTCCTTGCACTGTTACAGTCAACAACTCCCTTCCCTCCTCCCTCATCTTCCTCCCTCCCTCCCTCTCACGGACATCCCTTCACCTCTCTCCTCTGCCTCACCAAAACCAAATCAAATTAAGATTGAACCATGACATGCACATGCAGTATGCAACAAATATAAATCTTACATAACAAACCCTAAATTAACCTCTCTCCGTACCCATTTATCTCTCTCTCTCTCTCTCTCTCTCTCTCTCTCTCTCTCTCTCTCTCCGCATTATCACGAAGAAAAGCAAGCCAATAGCGTAAGTTTTTCATTCATCTATCTGTCGAATGCTTAATTCTACTTGCTTTGTGTTTGATATTTTAATCGGCTGAATATACTTCTTTTCCTATTATATTCATTGTTTACGCTACTGATGTAAATACTGGAGCTGTGATTCGCTGCAAAGTTTTTATTGACAAACTTTCCAGAATTCAGATATTTCATAATTCCATTAAGCTTGACTTAGATGGGCTTGCCGCGCTTCGAGTCCGTGCCTTTGATAGTGGTGAATGTACTTTTTGAAATGCTAATTATCACGAGATGTTTGGGGCCATTGAATTCTCAATTTCATTTCTTGGTAGTGCACTCATTGTTGATGCTCTTTTTTCTTTTCTTTTTATTTGAGAGTCAGAGGTAGTCGCCACTCTCTGTGTGTGTTTCAGTAACTGAGCTTCTTGAGAGGCAGAGGTAGTCGGCAGGCGATCTGTGGCTTCAGATCCATTAGCCACACAGAAAAGGAAAGGAAAAAGATGAGGTGTGGTGTTTGGAGAAGGAGACGGGTGTCTGTAGGTATATTGCTTGTTTCTCATAAATAAATAAAACGTTATATAGAGCTTACCTTGAATGTTTATTAGAATGCCCCAGAAGCAGTGCTGTTATGGGAACCTATAATTTTACACAGCAATCATTGGATCCATTCTTCGCAACTCAATGCGCAAGCCTGAGGAGAATGTGGCTCAATTGTCTTCTGGTCAGTTGATACGATACGATACGATTCTCTCTCTCTCTCTCTCTCTCTCTCTTTTCTTCTTGGTTTTTCTTTCTTTTCTCTTTCTTTATTTTCCATTGGAACACCAGTTTGAGAATGCTATCAGTTTGTTTCCTGTCATTAAACTTCAGAGTCAAGACAGTGTTCTTGATTCTTCTGTGTTGTTTTGTGATTTGGGTCATGCTATAATATCGTAGTCAGTTGGCTTTTTAGATTTTGCGCCTTTAGCTCATCGCGGGTATTATAACTGAATGCGATCATGTTCTTGGAGTTTCTTGTTTTCTCAACTTGGGATTTTTGTTTTTCAAATTTACCAGTTACCACCTTCTGTTAACTGGTTTCAATTGAAAATGACATCTTTTCTGAAATCCCAAGTTTCAATCTTTTCTGAAAATATTAAAAATATGGATTAGAACAAGTGTGCAAAAATATACAAGATTGACACTTGTTAAGGGTTTTATACTTTTCAGCTGGGCTTGTCTAGGATCATGACAAAGCTAGCCATAGTTTCAAGGTTACTCACTGCCAGTACCTAAATAGGATAATGAAATGACAGCAGTAAGTATTGGAGAACTCATATGAACACTAAATCTTAGCCAAGCTGTTTACAGTTGCAATGTATTTCTAGGAGAATTGCTTAATGTATTTCTATACTCTATAGTACTGCTTGTGCTTGGGAGAAACTCAGAAATTCTAGGCCTATGACAGCTTGGGCTGATCTGTTTGATGCGAATTAGCAACAATAATGTTGAGGGAGGAGCTTTCCATCCTTTGGTTAGCTAACAAAGGTAAGCAGGCAACTCTTGACAGAATCCTTGTCTAGTACTTACGAGCACTTGTATAGACTCCATAGGCTATTAGATTTTGGGTTTTGTGTCAGGTTTTGCTGGAATCGCATAAGCACTAATTCTTTGATTGCTCCTTTTATGATGATGATGATACATAGTACTCTAGAGTGCACGGTGAATATGGGATCACTCCTGGTCTCATCTTTGTTAATTGGGCTGCTGTGCTGCTCAATGGAAAGGTAAACAAGTGCATTATGTTATGTAGTAAAAAAGCTTTGCCTGGCTGGCTGGGATTGTGGATCATATCTGGAGGTGGAGAAATGACAGGATTTTGGGAATGAGAACAAAGCTTGTCATGGCTGTGCTGTATTCAAGGCTTTGCAAGGCTTTGCATTGTGTCTGTTCTGTTGTGTATGCTACTTAATTAATACTTAATAGTGGAAGTGGTTATTGACGTTGTCGGTTATTTCTGTTTTATTACTTAGACCTTGTACTATATTAAGAAAAGGCACATAATCTCATCATTTGCAATTTGCAATTTGCACGAGAGGGGAATGCATCATGCATCAATTTGCACAACTGACTAGGCTTTTTTGCCTATTAAAGTTACCATACCAACCCAATGGCGACTTTTTTGAATTTACCAATTCCATTCCTGAATCTAATCTCGCATGCATCCCTCAGTTTCATGTCAAAAGATCATCTGAAGAAATCTACATTACAGAGGTAAAGCATGCATTCTTCCAGTATCATTGTTCAAACAATGATATATCCAGTTACTTTGCATTTTTTACTAGTAGGGTTCTTTCTTCTTTTCATTTTCCTTTCCACAATGTGAATTATGATCGTCTTATGAAAGATGTTATTGTATGTCCTATTAATTGCTTCTCTTGTCGAATAATGTTCTTGCATTCTCTGTTTTTCTCTACGTATTTGCTTCCTTTTGGCCCGAATTTCTGCAAATGTCCTTTGTTCTCATCCGATGCTAATGTCTGTCTTGCATTATACTATAGAAATTTCTGTTTTGCTTTATATAGCAGCTTGTTATGTTTTTGGCTATTTTCGTTTCTTATGTGAATTGCAGAGTGATGACATAAAGTTGTCCAATAACCAGTCTGATTACTGGAGAATTTTTCCTGTATCAGATGATGTTGCAATCAAACATGGCTGACAGAATTCTATAATTCTAAAGGCAACTTCACAGGGACGGGATAAATTGACAGCTTCTTTGACTTACTTTAGTGCGCTAAATGAGACGAAGGAGGTAATGATGTGATCTTTAACTTTTTTCCTAGTTCCTGATTTGTTTTTTATGATTCTATTTTAAATTTTGTTCTTATTTTGCTTAAGTTGGTTCGTCTCTGCTTGTAGATTCTCAAGGTTGCACAAGGAGTCATGGTTTGTGACCAAGTCAAGTTTAGTTTGGATAAAAGTGATGCGTCTCCAACCATTTTCCGTTCCTGGGCCCCTGCTATTTATCAGGAGGTTGGTATACTCAAGTTCTTTAACTTCAACTCTAATGTTGCTTTGGGGATCTGAACACTATCAAATTATACAGGTTGTGCTAAGGCATCCAGTGACTAGAAATGGTTCTCTTCAGACATGGGTATTGTGTCTGTGTCTGTGTCTGCTTCTGGGTTTGTCCAGGCCAAGTAGCCTGGTAAAGCTACTATCAAAGTGCTCTCCATATTTTATTCATTCAATTATGATGAGGTGCAGGGTACTGTATATGTTCTTTTGCGTCCTCATAGCAACAAGTGTCCACTGACCTTCTTACTCTTTGCTTTGTGGAATCTTTTAAAGTTCTGTACGTTGCATTGGCGAGAAGAGTCTATTAGTGCAGACTTGGTCAAGTTTACTTGATGTCCGCACTTCTCTTTGTTTACCCCAATACTTAAATAATTAAGCTGTAAATTTTATTATTGTGTAAAAAGACAAAAAATGTCATCCAACTTAATAATTAACCATAGGCTCAGCGAGAAGGGAAGAGTGTTAACTTAGCTGTGCCATGTTCTGCGTTTTGGTCAGGACTTAGAATTTACAACCACAAACAAAAAAACAAAAAAAAACAAAAAAAATCCGCGAAAGCAAAAGTGAATCTCTTAGATTAGATCGATCACTTCATATCCCTCTCATCGATTCGTCAGCTTAATTGATTATCTTCCCGGTCTCAGTTTCTCAAGCAAGCAAGTCAGTTTGTGTTTCAACAATTTTCGCTTCCAATTTAGGGCTTCTCTGATTAATTCGCGCTAAAATTGGCTGAATTTTCTTGGTGTTTGGTTGCAGGATTTCTCGAGTCTCAGTGTGCCCTGAGAAATCAGCAATGGATTTGGTCTCTGGTTACAAGGTGATCTAACTTCTCCCTCTCTCTCTCTCTCTCTCTCTGTCTTTCTTTTGTCCTTACAAACTCGTTTGGTCTCTTATGGCTTCGTGTGCAGGGGGTTGTGGGGCTCGTTTTTGGCAACGAGAAATCTGGTTCTTCAAATGAAGATAGGTACTTCCCTCCTTCTGTCACCAAATTCCATACACATTACTCCCGCTGTTGCTTAGTTATAATTGTTGAATGGTATGTGACCAATGTACTCTGTCATTGTTTCAGTATGTAGCTATGTTGAATGCTTGCTCGATTGTATTAGCAATGGTAAACTGTCAGAGGACAGGAGGACTGCTATGCTCGAGCTTCAATCTGTTGTGGCAGAAAGCTCTAATGCACAGCTAGCATTTGGAGCAATGGGTGATTGCTCCTCTTCTTGTTTGCAAATTGCAACAGTGGTTTAGTTTTTCATTTTATGTTTGTCATCTATGACATTTTTCATTCATTTATTTTTTTCTTTTTTGCAGGCTTTCCTGTTATGATGGGCATATTAAAGGAAGAACGCGATGATGTTGAAATGGTTGCTAAATTTTCTTCTTCTTTTCATATTTCCCCTTAATCTCATTGTTTTTCCCGAGTTATCATGTTGTAGAATCCATTCTGGTGTTTTATTGAAACTGTTTGGGTGCCACTGATGAAGCTGTTTTTATTTTCTGATAGAGATATTTCACTTTTACTGCATCTTTTTAGGTTTCTGGAATGCGAATGTGATTGTTATGTCCTTTTCACCTGTCCCAGTGATTCTTATGAATTTTCCTCCAAACGTAGTTCTTAATGTCAATTTATATTCATACATAAAGTCTCATTTATGTTTTCTGCATATGCAGGTTCGAGGTGCCCTAGAAACTCTTGTAAGTGCCTTGACTCCTATTGACCATGCAAAAGGCCCAAAGAATGAAATTCAACCAGCTCTAATGAACGCTGATCTGCTCTCCAGAGAAGCAGACAACATTTCACTTCTTCTGAGTTTGTTGGTTAGAGTTCTCTAATTATATTTGCAAAATCCTTTTCATCATTCTATTTAAATTTGCTTGATTTTTGCTATATTTTTTTGGTTCATGCACATAGTTTGACAATGTTTATATTTATTTTGGTTGTTTTTGCAGTCAGAGGAGGATTTCTATGTACGATATTACACTCTTCAACTTTTGACAGCTCTTCTCACAAATTCTCCAAATAGGTATCAGTTTAGAACTACTATTTCCCTTTAGTCTAATTTTTTTGGATTCTTTTAGTGGTTTTAGAAAGAATTTTTTCTGAGTTCCTCTTCAGGTTACAGGAAGCCATTCTGACCATACCTCGTGGTATAACTCGCTTAATGGATATGCTTATGGATCATGAGGTACAATTCACTGAATGATAATTTATCATTTTGCATTTAACTCTATTATCAACATGTTTCGCTACAATTTAACTTTTAAGCTAAAATTCATGTTTATTGGTCATCTCTCTATTTGAGGATTTTTTTTGAAATCTTTTGGAACCTATGAATTATTGAAATATGATTGTGGTATCAATCTTTTCCTGTTGTTCAGTCATACTGAACTATTGTGTTTTCCTTCTAGGTTATACGAAATGAGGCCTTATTACTTCTTACTTACTTGACCCATGAAGCTGAGGTGAGATTTTTCTCCCACATGATCCTTAGTCACTTCTTTTTATTTAGTTATATTTGTTGAACCTGTGACTGAAAAGTGCGTTTCTTTCCTTTTTTTTTTTGAAAAGAGACTCAATATTTTGTTGGTGTAAACAATAAAATTACAATCTAGTGGGCAAGACGTCCATTCCAAAAGTACAACAGAACACTAATACATAAAAGCTATCAATTGCTAAACCATCAGAACTGAAAAGTGTGTTTTTACATTTTTATTAACTGATAGATTGTTATGATATCAGGAAATTCAAAAAATTGTGGTCTTCGAAGGTGCTTTTGAGAAGATTTTCAGCATCATCAAAGAAGAAGGTGGTTCCGATGGTGGTGTTGTTGTGCAGGTAATTCTCTTTGACTTATTCTTTTCATATTTAATTCGCTGTGTGACTTGTTTAAGTGTCATTGCTGATAAACCACTTGTCAAGCTTCCTTCTACGGATTAATTTTGTAAAATTGACATGAATCAAAAGCCTTCGTTTCTTTGGTGGGTTTAGACTTTATAACTATACTGATATTTTCACCAAATTTTATAGGTAAAATAAAAAATTTCCATTATTTCACTGCAAGGGATGCAAACGTTTGTTTGTTATATACTAAACTTGTAAAACACTTACTTGTCATGTTCTAATGCCTTGATTATAGAGGGATGGCTGTTGGCACACTGTGTTACAAAATAAAATGTGTGTGTAGTTCATAAATCAAGTTCCCATTTCTCATACGTGCTCATCTCTAAAAGAAATTGAGAAATCAATTGATTTTGGAAATGGTTCTAATGTAATACACTTCTGCAGGACTGTATTGAATTGCTGAACAATCTTATTCGGAAGAATGCATCTAATCAGGTTTTTAGTTTTTTCTGTTGCTCTTATTCTTGTAATCATTGTTGTCATTTGTGCATTTTGTTTCTTTTTGCTTCTAATTAAAAGCATGTGTCATTCAGGTACTACTGAGGGAGACGATAGGATTTGACCCCTTCATGTCAATTTTGAAGCTACGAGGGAGTACTTACAGCTTCACTCAACAAAAGGTTAGATACTCGATTTTCATAACTTTGTATTGCAGACTGTTTTATTTATTATGGCACAACTCTTACTGGTAATTTGTTGTTGACATTGAATTAAACTCCATGCCAGTAGACAATTAATCTACTCAGTGCGTTGGAAACTCTTAATTTGCTAATAATGGGAGGTTCGGAGGCTGATCATGGAAAAGATGCAAATATGCTGACAAATAGGACAACCCTCGTTCAGGTAGTCTATAATACTCTCTCACTAAATTTAAAATTCTGTGATATGTAGTCTTTCTGATTTTTTAATTTTCTGGATGTAGAAGAAAGTCTTGGACCATCTTCTAATGCTGGGTGTAGAAAGCCAGTGGGCACCTGTTGCTGTCCGTTGTGCAGTAAGATAGTTCTTCACCTTCTTCATCCTCTCTCTCTCTCTCTCTGGGTTTAGAGATTATAATATGAAGATTGGTGTTTAGAGATTATAATATGAAGATTGGTGATGGGTGTCTAGAGAAGATTTGGAGGGAGACAGGGATAGAAGGCGCTGGGCGGAAATTGTTGGTGGTAGGGCACGAATCTGGGCAGGTTTTGCGGCTGCGATCTGAAAACCCAGATCGGGAGGAGAAAGAGAGAGAGGAGGTGGAGATGGAGAGAGAGAGAGAGAGAGGAAGTGGATGGTGGAGGGATATGAGGTGGGGAAAGAGAGAGAAAGAGGAACTAGGCTGATTTAGATGGTGGAGGGGCATAGGAGGTGGTGATGGTTGATGGTTGAGAAACAGTGAGGGAGAAAATCGATGGTGGAGGTGGTGAGAGAGAGAGAGAGAAAAAAAGAGGAGGTGGTTTAGGTATTTTTTGCAATCAAATTTTTTTTTCATTAAAAAATACGTTGGACACGAATGAATAATTGGTGTGCATATATAAAAGTCGAATCAGATCTGACACTTTCGTGCTCAAAAGTATTGAGCAAAGGACACGAAAATGGTAAAATTGTGCTTCATGAGCAAAATAGAAACTCCTATAGAGGACACTGACCAATTTATTGTAGCTGCAGTGTGGCTTTTAATATAGAGCCAGGGGCGGCCCTGGGGTGGTGCAAGTGGCGCCACCGCACAGGGCCTCCGATTCTTGAGGGCCCCAAAAAAAAATTCTTTATATTGTATATATTAATATTATAGGAATTGTATATATAGTATAGCGTGCAAAATACTTGCACAAGAGCGTGTCTAGTGGAGTTGGCTCCAGCGCAT